GGGGGGGGATAGGATAAACACATACATGAATATAATTGCACTATTTTGGGATTGCTATTTACACAAAATAAAGTGAATTACAAAAATCATAAGGTAAGATTCATTTAATTAAGAATTACATGTAAGAACTCATCTTCTTTTAGTACATGTGCACCATAGAATAAAAATATTTAAAGTAGATTAACATTTATTTAATTATAATATATTAATCTTAACTATATCCCAAAGGTATCATTTAAATTGTTAAAAACAAAGTGACTTTAATTATGTGGTTAAAATTGAGGTAACTAGCAAAATTATTGAGCAAATTACGATCAAACTATTTTATAAGTTGGCAACTCCCAAAAGTTAGAATATATTGGTTGTTAATAAATTATCATGTATGTATATATTAATTTGTCATTGTGTAATTTTAGGTTGGTAGAAGTTGATATTGATGTGAGAATCTATTATGTTGAGATAATAATATAATATATTTTTATAATTTAAATTAAGATATTACTAAATGTATTTTTATTTCTTATTACACTATATAGTATGGCTTCACTAAATTTCAATATAGACGAGATAGTTTGACTTGACACAGAATTTAAGAACGAAAACAAAATTTTGAAACTTATGATCCTATATAGTTTTGTGTGGCCATGATATTTGTATGGGTGTAAGAACTTCTCATTATATGTAAAATGGGTAAAATAAAAAATTTAAAGTTAAATTATTTTCAAATACATAAATGTGTCATTTTTTTGGAACAAACTAATAAGAAAAATATTTTATGTAAATTGAAAGGAAAAGAGTATTTATTTTTGAATCATATTGTATTTTTATTTGTTTGTTTCACCGACTATATATGGGGTTATAATATTTAAGTTTATGTCAATAGTTATTCATATAATTTGTTCTTTTTTAATTTATAAAATTTAGCAGGACCATAATATTATCCGCACATCGTGCGGGTACTAATACTAATTTATATTTGATGGGTTTAACTTTAGACTCTTACCGTGAACTCATTATACTTTTAAAATTATAAATTCAAAATTCTGTTCTTTTTGCAACTTTAGGTAATTTTTCACAAATATATTAATACTCTGTGTAGAAAATAAAATCAGCCAAAGTTAGTGGTATGCTGGTACTTGCCTACGTAAAGGAACGTGAGTTCACATGAACCCATACCTCTTCACCTAGATATACCCCTCATTATTAGTGGTATGATGGTACTCCTTTCCATGATAATATCTACCTAGATACACTTGCAGAGAAGAATATACTTACTAATACAACCATGGTACAGTAACAAATGCATGTAGAATATAAATGTTTCAGTCTTATTTGCTTGGTGCAAATATTGGATGCAAATTTTTCAAAAATGATGAATAAATGGTGGCACTCAATTTGCTAACACTGCAGAAGGACCGGTGAGATTATTAATTTATCTTTATGGTCAAATTCTAAATTGTGCATCATTGAATGTTTCCGTCACTCCCCATTGTCCTAATTAATACTCTCTCCGTATCAATTTATGTACGGAGTTTAAAAAAAAAAAAAAAAGACTTTTGAACTTGTTGTGTAAAATGATGCACATATATTTTGTGTGACTATAAATCATTGCATAAAGATAAATTATTTCCAAATAAGAAAAAAGGTCATACTTTTTGGCACGGACTAAAAAGGAAATAGGTTCACATAAATTGAAAAGAAGAGAGTATCGATATTTCGATTGCTCAAGCCAGTGAAAGTACAAAACAACTTAGTCAGATAAGATTGCCAAATATACTAATTCTACTTCAAACCCTCGACACGATTATTTTTCAAGATATGTTAAGCTGGGTATGTAAGTGCATGTATGAGTGTGATTTTGTTGGAGATGGTGATTCAATTTTACCAAATTCTAAACTGAAAGAGGGATCGATTTTTAGACAAAAGAAAAAGAGAGTTATCAGTTGGAATGAAGTGAAACAAATGACTTATGCAAATAAGTCTTTTGTCTGATAATGAAACACAAAACAAGAAGGAAATTGGGCCAACTAAGTGTCTTGGGACTTCTCACTGTTTTGGGCCAGCACGAATACATCAGCCTCAGTCCAAGACTTGGCAATTTTTTGAAGACAATCAGAAGCTTCTAGAGATAATAAAATAGCATCTTTTAGTTTCTATTGTGTTACTGACCTATATACATTAGTTATAGCGTGCGGAATAGAAATAGTACAGTTGTAGGTAGTTAGAAGATTTATTCTTTACACTTAGGTCTATTTGATTTTTATATAAAATACATGTACTGTACAGATAATTTCATTCAATACAATACAAAAGAAACTTCCTAAATCTAACATGGTATCAGAGCATTGGTAGCTCATCAACGTCCTTCTCTTCATCCTTCATTCTTCTGTTCTTAACTTATTTCATTCAGATTACTCATGTCTCCCTCAACTGAAGAAACACCTTCTCCTTCCACAGTGATTGCTCGAAACATTCTTGTTTCTGATGCTTCATATCTACTCTACCTTCACCCATCAGACTCACCTAGTATGGTGTTAGTCAATTCAGTTTTTGATCGGAAAAGCTATGCTGGTTGGCATAGGGAAATTGTGATAGCACTCTCAGCCAAGAACAAGCTTGGCTTCATTGATGGATCCATCAAAGAACTAGACATGGCTGATCCTTCATCCAAAGCTTGGAATCGTTGCAACGACATGGTAATTTCCTGGCTCTTAAACTCTTTTTCTAGGGATATTGTTGATAGTGTGTTGTATTCCAAAACTGCAAAAGATATATGGATGGAGTTAGAGGCTAGGTTTGGTCAGTTTAATGGAGCTCAACTATATCAACTCCTTAATGCACTTGTTCAAGAAAATACTGATATAGCAGGATATTGTACTAAAATGAAGAAAATCTGGGATAAATTAGATACATTGAATACATGTATCAGCTGTTCTTGCAACTGTTCATGTGGAGGGAAACAAAAAAACCTCAAATCTTTTCAGGATGGCAGATTAATTCAATTCCTGATGGGCCTAAATGAAGCATATGTTCTAGTCAAGAGCAACATCCTGATGATGACCCCTATACCCAATGTCAATAAAGCATATTCTTTCTTAATCCAAGATGAAAAACAAAGAGAAATATACATTGGGGTGCATCATGCAGAATCTGCATTCATGGCAGGACAACAACAAATCAACAATCACAAAACTATAGAAGAAAGTTCAAAGGAAATTTTGTTGGAAAGAAAAACAGCCTATTTTGCAACTATTGCAAGAAACCAGGTCATACTATTGACAAATGCTACAGGGTAGTGGGTTTTCCAGCAGATTTCAAGTTCACTAAGTCCAAGAAATTTCAGAGTTATGCACATGAAAATGCAGCTATCACTAAAGACAATGCAGGACAGTCAGTAAATGGGGGAGAGAGAGTTTCTTCAGCAAACACAATTACTCAGGAGCAGTACAATCAGCTATTTCAATTGCTTCAACATGTGCAAATTGGGCAACAAAGTGATCATTCTTCTAAGGCAGTAGTTGCTGCCAACTGTGCAGATATACCACTGTCAGAACTTAATGTCATCTCCTGTTTTTCTTTGTTCACCCTAAGTCTTGGATTATACACTCAGGGGCTTCAGAACACATGACATCTGATTTTTTTATCTTGTTCAACAATATTTCTCTTCCTATGCCAGTCTCTATTAAGCTTCCCAATTCCCACAAGGTAAAAGTTAAACAGATTGGAAGTGTACATCTTCTGCCAGGAATAACCATCTCTAATGTTTTCTATGTACTAGATTTTCAATTCAATCTATTATCTGTTCATAAGCTTACCAAACACCTTAGTTGTATCCTGTTATTTACTGCTTTTGGTACAATATTGCAGGACCCTTCAATGAAGAGGCCAGTGATAGTTGGTGAAATCAAAGATGGATTATATTTACTGCATCCAAAGTCTATTTCCTCTAGCTTCAAGTTTCAGAAAACATCTGTTCCTCAGTATTTTTCCAGTCTATTTCCATTCCTAATGATATTCATCCATGTGATATATGTTCTAAAGCTAGACAAACTAGGTTGACTTTTCATTCCAGTATCATCTTTTCCACTTTAATTTTTGAACTTATCCACATAGATACGTGGGGACCCTACAAGGAACAAACTCATGATGGATACAAGTATTTCATCACTATTGTTGATGATTTTAGCTGGGGAACATGGACCTATCTTCTCAAAATAAAAAGCAATATTTTCACTATTTTAAAATCTTTTCTTATTATGGTAGAAAGGTAGTTTCACACTAAAGTCAAGATGATTAGTCTGATAATGCCTTAGAATTAGGGAGTAGTTCCTCTTCTTCTGATTTTTTCTCCTCGGATTCTACATCAAACATCTTGTGTCAACACCCCACAACAAAATGGAGTGGTCGAGAGAAAGCATAAATATCTTCTAAAAATTAGTAGAGCTTTATTATTTCAATCACATCTTCCTATTGCCTATTAGGGGGAATATCTTTTAACTGCTACTTTTCTCATCCACAGGTTTCCTTCTAAGGTCTTAGGTCTCAAGTCCCCTTACCAAATATTGTTTGGCAATGATCCTGATCTCACCATTCTGAAGACCTTTGGTTGTCTATCCTATTCTTCTAATTTGAGCTCTCATATGACTAAATTTGATCCTAGGTCTGTTAGGTGTGTCTTCTTGGGATACCCTTTTGGAAAGAAAGGCTACAAGCTTTTAAACCTTGGCACCATGAAGTTGTTTGTTTCCAGAGATGTGGTCTTCTATGAGACCATTTTTCCTTTTTCTATATTGTGCGCCAATCAGGCTACTTTTCCAATTACAGCTCCTTCTCTTGAACCTGCTTTGCACAATAAAGGGGGCCCTTCTACACCCCCATTTATAATTTCTGGCAATTCTCCAATTTCCCACTCTCCTACTACTCACACTTCCCTTATTCCTGTTTCTTCTACTGTTTTCTCACCCGCTTCTATCATTTTCAGCCCTACTTCTTCACCCTCTTTTATATTTTCTACCCCACTCATTGATCATCCTGCTGTGAAGAGGTCACTTAGGATTCGCAAAACTCCCTCCTACCTGGTAGATTATGTATGCAACTCTGTTTATCTGACTAACCTAACTTCTACTTATTTTACAACATCTCTAAGCCTAATATTTTGCCTTTTTCAACCTTATCTTCTACCAATCAATAATTATTGAATTCTACTTCCCATATTTTTGAACCTAATACCTATAGCCAGGCAATGGTACATCCTGGTTGGCAGCAAGCTATGGCCAAGGAATTTGAAGCCTTAGAAGCTAACAACACCTGGGAGATAGTTGAATTGCCCAAGAGTATGAAAGCCTTGCCTTGCAAATGGGTCTACAAAGTGAAGTATAGGTCAAATGGTGCGTTGGAGAGATTCAAAGCCAGGTTAGTCATCCGGGATGATATTTTTCCTGTGGTCAAAATGGCAACAGTGAGATGCCTTATGGCAGTGACAATCAAAAAAGGGTGGTCTCTTATTCAATTAGATGTTAATAATATTTTTCTCCATGGATTTGTAGGAAGAAGTATACATGAAAATACATCAGGGAATGCTTAGTCCTAGTCCTAATCATGTTTGCAGGTTAAGAAAATCCTTATATGGGCTGAAGCAAGCTTCCCGGCAATGGTACACCAAACTTATTGCAGCCCTTAGTTTCAAAGGATACTCTCATTCCCTCAAAGATTATTCTTTATTTTTTAAAGGGACATATTCTGCTATCTCCATTGTTGCTGTTTATGTTGATGATATACTATTTATTGGTGATGACCTTATTGAATTGCTTGCTTTAAAGACTTTTCTTGATTCAAAATTCAAAATTAAGGATTTGGGGAAGCACATTTCTTCCTAGGCATGGAAATCGTACGGGAACAACAAGGTTTAATTTTGAGTCAACGGAAGTTTACCTTGGAGCTTCTCTCAGAGTTTGATTGTCTCACTTTAAAGCCTGTTTCTTCACCACTTGATCCATATACAAAGCTAAAGCCAGATTCTAGCCAGCTTCTTTCAAATCTCACCATTTATCGACGTCTTGTGGGCAAATTAAATTTTCTGGCCCATACTTGCTCGGATATCTCTTTCGCAGTGCACCGGTTCTCAGTAAATTCATGCAATCTCCTCGCCAATCTTATTTTGATGCAGGGATTCACTGTCTTCATTATCTTCATGCTACTCCTGGGCTTGGTCTCTTCTTCAACTCAGACCCTTTAAAAGCTTTTGGCTTTTTGTGATTCTAATTGGGGATTTTGTCCAGACACTAGACGTTCCATTAGTCGTATTCTATCAGTCTCGGAGGTTCTCCCATCTCTTGGAAATCTAAAAAGCAAACTTTGGTTTCCCTTTCTTCTGCAGAAGTCGAGTACCGATCTATGATGAGAGTTGTCTCAGAAGTCACTTGGTTGGTGCATCTTCTACAAGACCTCTCTATTCCTCCATCTCTTCCGGTGGCCGTTCACTCTGACAGTCAAGCGGCGCTTCACATAGCTAAAAATCTCAGCTTCAATGAAAGGATGAAGCATGTCGAACTAGATTGCCATTTTTTCCGGCAACAATTTTTGGCCGGTTTGATTTCCCTTCACTTTGTGCCTTCACCCTCTCAGCTCACCGACGTCTTTACGAAAGCTATCCTTGGTTTTGTCCATCACTCTGTCATCGGCAAGTTGGGAGTGTCTTTCCCCCCTTCCAACTTGAGGGGGAGGGGGGGATGTTGGAGATGGTGATTCAATTTTACCAAACCCTACATTGAAAGAGGGATCAATTTTTAGACAAAAGTAAGAGAGTGTTATCAGTTGGAATGAAGTGAAACAAATGACTTATGCAAATAAGTCTTTATCTGATAATGGAACACAAAACAAGAAGGAAATTGGGCCAATTAAGTGTCTTGGGCCTTCTCACTGTTTTGGGCCAGCACAAATACATCAGCCTCAGTCCAAGACTAGGCAATTTTCTGAAGACAATTAGAAGCTTCTAGAGATAATAAAATAGCATCTTTCAGTTTCTATTTTATTACTGATCTGTATACGTTAGTTATAGTGTGAGGAATAGGAATAGTATAACTGTAGGTAGTTAGAAGATTTATTCTTTACACTTAGGTCCATTTGCTTTGTATATAAAAATACATGTACTGTACACATGATTTCATTCAATACAACACAAAAGAAAATTCCTAAATCTAACAGATTCAGATGAATCGAAAGAAGACCAAATTTTGTTGTGGGGGACTTGGAAGTCACTTTCCTTCATTAATTGGCATATTTTCGATCGAGTTTAATGGATTGCTGGCTGCGAACTTCAGATCAGTCCATTTCTTCGGAGTCGTCCTTGTCTGCGCTCTTCAACTAATCAATATCGACACGTACGGTTATTTGGTGGGACAAAATGCCTCCAAAGATGCTCGCTTTTCAACCCCTACTATATTAACATCAAAATGAACGTATCGTAATCGTCAAACTTACATATATATTTCAATACAACTACTTTACTCCCGAATCCACCATGAAATTTAAAAAAAAAATAAGGAACCGCTACATCAGTACATGCAGTAGTGAAATGAACTCTTTCTTTTCTTTTTTTCTAAATTGGTTTCTAACATCACACCACTTACATTTAGTTTTGCGCACCTATTTTTCTGACAAGAATAGTTTTTGCGCCATTACTCGTCCGCTCAAGAAGGTAGAATAATAAAAATATGAGGGAATTACACATAAATATGACTCACACACATACATTGCAATTAGGTGGCTTATATTCAACTTTGCAAAGTTGTAGCATAAAAATAATAGGCTAAAATTAAACATCCAACTCCAAATAGGTTCTCGAAATTGCTATTCAATTTTTTAAAAAATACCCAAGCTTCTAATCCAATCTTCATATCAATAATTGTGACTCAAACATTAGTTCAACAAACCAAATCTATTTGGATGGTGAAATTAGATTTTTAAGGTAATCCACAATTGTTGAACAAGCTTAAATAAGTGAGTTTAAATTTCGAATATGATTTTGTGAGAAATTTAGATTAGGTGTTGTTTAGACTTGTTAAAAATAGTATAAGGAAATTGTATACAAAATTTGAATGGAGATTTAGATTGGTTTTGAACAAGAATTGCAACTAAAAATCGTGGAAGGAATTTGTCTACATACGCTTGTATAAGGTGTTTAAAAGAATATAATAGTGTCTCGAGTTCGAGCCCCTGAGTATGAAGCCGTCTTTGTTAGGGAGCGTTTTACACGTGGAACTTCCCGGCACGAATCTGGATTTAATCGGGCTCCAATACGGGTATCGGGCACCAGGTGACAATCCAAAAAAGGTATATAATAGTGTATAAGAGGTATTTATACACTATTATACGATATTGTACACTATTATACAAAAACTGAATTCATCTTCTTTCTTGATTTTTTTTCTGAAATCAAAAATAGTTTAAATCTACTCTAAATTATTTCAAATTTATTCTTTGAACTCCTCTTAATGTTTCTGAATGATTGGAACAACACCTAATTCAAACAACTAACAAACTCGGAAAACCAAGATCTGAAATTTGACTCATATCTACTCCAAATTACTTCAAATTTAAATTTTAAACTTCTCTTGATTTTTCCAATCGATTGGAACAATACCAAGTCCAAACACCTAAAAGAAAGTAAAAAATTAAAACCAATTTCAAAAATTCTAACATCTACGCAAAAAAAAAAAGGAATATAAAGTGTACACCCGATCACGAGATTTCTCACCTACCATGACAAACATAGAACATTATTGGTATAACGATAACTTAATTACTTATAAGCTAAATTTTGTTATTCAAAGATATGGTTTAAAACTTTGCTTGCTTCAATTGAAAATATGAGTATAAAAATGGTCATAACATATAAATATGGTAGTGTCTAATGTTAATACTACCATATTTTGATTTTAGAGTATGATTGGATAATTGGGGCTACAATCCTTGCGTGATTATATTGAGTCAACAATTGATGAACTAAACATTAAAGTTTGTTTTTGTATGAAGGAGAAGAAGAAAGAAAAGAAAATATTAGAAGTAGGTCTTTAATGTTAGGCTAACGAATAAAAAAAAGAACTTTATGTTACAAAGTGGGTTAAACTGGATAAGAAGCTAAAAACATAAGCCAACATTGATAGCATTATTAAGGGGTTTTGACACAGTTACCCACAAAAATAAAACTATTTATCCTTGTCTATCTATTTATTTTTCTACCCATAAACTAATTACATTTTCTACCCATAGTAGTTTTTGTGGGGAATTTTTTCTTTATTCTCCAATTCTTTTTTATTTCTATGCTTCTTTTCTTTCTTTTTTTCCTTTTTTTCTTTCTTTTCTCCTTTACTTTTTTATCATTTTCTTCCTATTTTTTTTATTTTTTCACTTTTATTCATTTATTTTTGTCCAAATCGTATTATTGTTATTTTTACCATAACTTATTTTATACTCAAATTTGACTCCTTCTTTATTTTTATTTTTTTTTATTTTTTTTCTTTATTTCTTGTTCTTTTTAAAATTCCACGTGATTGCCATGCAAACCTTGATTTCCTTCCCTACGAATATCAGTACATACTCTACCATTAGCAGTAACACCAACCAATGATGGAGCAAGAAAACAAAATCTACGGCCACTAAATCTCCATATATACTAGTTAGAATAGAAATGATAATAAAATATTGAAAAATGCAATAAAAATATAAGTAGCAAAAAAGACTTCTAGTACCATATGATACCAATATGGTATACATGTATACCAACAGAATATATGATTGCTCTAGAATATTGCTACAACTATCTGCGACTATACTACTGCACCAAAACATTAAAGGATACAATAAAAATATGAGAAAATTACATGCTCGCATTGCAAGCTAAATATTCGCAAAACAACTTGCTCATTCCATATACTAAAAGGGTATACAGTTGTATGGGTTGTTCCAACAATTGCCTATAATTATAAAAACTATTATAAAATACACATAATCTATATCCATCAGCACACAAAAATTCCAGCACTGTAAATCACGTTCATATAAATAATTTCAGAATAGAATTCACTTAAAAATACAGCCAAAACAACCAAAAAAATGTCCAAACTACCATATGATACCAATATGGAATATAACTATACCAACATGGTATACAGTTTTACTGTTTAATTCCCGCAACTATATGACTATACTACTATTACACAACACACATGCATAAAGAGAAAAATAAAAAAAATAGTGTACCACATATTAATATAATAAAGTATTTCAAGATATTGTACTATATTACTATTATTAAAAGAAAATCAAATATTGTATGAATAAATGCAGCTAATACAATCAAAAAATGATTCAACTAGCATATGATACCAATATAGTATATAATTATACTAATAGGGTATATAATTGGAATGAATTGTGTACCAAAATGGTATATTTGTATATTATTTGAGTATACAATACAAATTCGTCTTCTTCTCTTGTTCAACTATATTTCAACCCAAACTTCTAAAATTTACTACAAAATCTCCACCAAATTGACTAAAACTTTAGCTACAACCTCCAATCAACTTTCCAAACAAACCCATAGAGGATCGGATCAAAATAATTAAAAACTTAAACAAACCAAGTTATGAGTTTCAAGCTTCAAGGTCCTTCAATGGTGGATTTGAATTTTTGTACAATAAATCTCCAAAAACCAGTTTGGATGAAGAGAAAGAAGAAGGTATTCAATAGTCAAAATATCAAGTGTCTACGTTTATTAGCTAATAGGGTATTCAATAGTCAAAATAGGGTTTGAGAGTAATAATCTCCACAAGAGGAGATTCGGAATTCTCCACCAAGTTTGTTAATCAATCAGCATAATCCGAATGAGTCACTCATGCCAGTTCGAGGAGTTGATGAACTTCCAAAGCCATCAGTCGCAGACAGACGTAAGATTATTGGGAAATAATCGGGTAAATAGTTTGGACAACATGGATAGGAGTAGTAAATAGTTTGGGCATGGACATTAAAGGGTAAATAGTTTGGAATTAATGGGTATAAAGTGAGATTTTCTCCATTATTAACCCAAATCGGTAGAGAGCGTAATACTTTGGTTGCAGACATTTTTTTCTAGAAATATTGCTTAAAGACGGCGGGAAATATAATACTTTGGTTGCAGACATTTTTTTCTTATAGATCAAACACCATGTCTGTATTATATACACACGTCCAACTATTCAGAATGCTACTTTTGCTTTTGATAGAAATTAACTGTCTTATCTTTTTCTGACTCAAATTAGGAACACTTCAATACAATATTTTTAAAGATACATCTTCCAACCAAGTATTCACTTATGTTGGCTAAGATAAGAGGCAAAAGCCTTCAGTCCATGGATATATTAGGTAGCCTAAAATATTTGTACTATGAACAAGCTTATCCCCATCCACTTTCTTCTCACAACTAAGAAAGAGGGGGAAAAAAACAGAGTACGTATTTTCAACCACAAGCATTTCTTGACGTTTTCAATCAACAACAATTAACATTACTATGGAAAGGATACTTGGTAAAGCACAAGATATGGTCCTACTAGTCATTACAAAATATCCCACATTTGCTCATAGTTAGTATGCCAACTCTCAGCTTCTCATAGACAAGATTATTAGGAAAAAGGAGAAACTGGTCCGGCAACAAAACTGATAGGAGCGGCTATTTCATTATGCATATGCAATAAAACTTGATAAATAGCTGTCGTTCTATTCAATAAGCGGTACAACAGCATGTACGCCCCAAAGGCCAAGCTCATTGTTAATGACTGCCAACTAAATTGCTCAAATTTCCTACAA